ATTGGTGAGCCCGAAAGGCATCACCATGAACTCGTAATGCCCATAACGAGTGTTGAACGCTGTCTTCTGGATATCCTCATCACGCACTCTCATCTGATGATATCCAGACCTCAGATCAATCTTGGAGAACCAAGATGCTCCCTGCAACTGATCGAACAAATCGTCGATCCTCGGTAAGGGGTAACGGTTCTTGACCGTTAGCTTGTTCAACTCCCGGTAATCAATGCACATCCGGTGTGAACCATCCTTTTTCTTGACAAAAAGGATCGGAGCTCCCCACGGTGAGCTACTCGGCTGAATAAACCCCTTCCCCAGCAGCTCCTGCAGTTGTGAGGATAACTCCTACATCTCTGGTGGTGCAAGGCGATAGGGCGCCTTGGCGATAGGCGCTGCCCTCGGAACCAAATCCATACGGAACTCTACCTGCCTCTCGGGAGACACACCCAGCAACTCCTCGGGGAAAACATCCGGGAACTCACGCACTATCGGAACCACATCGACCGATCTCGGCCTCTCCGCATCAAACCTCATATCCATCACATAAGACACAAACCCACTACAGCCCTGCTGTAGGCTCTGCCTCGCTCTAGCGGCCGAACAAAACGCTGACCCAGAACGGGTACCCTCGCCGTACACTGTAAGAACTCCCCCACTAGGGTCTCGTATGGTCACCAGCTGTCGCTCGCAGTCGATAACCGCTCCAAATCTGCTCAACCAGTCCATGCCCACGATGACACAGACACCTCCCATCGCAATCGGGACCAAATCAATCGGAAACTCAACGCCTAAGATCTCGAGTACACATCCTCGAATCACATCCGTGGCATACACCGCTCTCTCGTCAGCTATGGAAACTCGCAGAGGTCGACTCAACGCCTCTCGACGGATACTGATGTGCTGACTAAAGGCTAATGATACAAAAGATCGACTCGCACCCGAGTCAAATAACACCAAGGCAGGTACAGAACTCACAAGAAAAGTACCTACGCATATCATAATATAAGCACAATCAAAATAAATACATGAAAGAATACATACCAACCACGACATCGGGCGCTGCGCGGACCTCCTCCGTTGTCAACTGGAAGGCTCTCCCTCGTGCCTTCGGTACCTCGGCCTTCACCCGCTGAATCTCGGTAGCTCGTACAGTAGCAGGGGCAGATCCCTGCGATGCTCCCTGTGCTGACCCCCGCAGCTGCGGACACTCGGCCTTCCGGTGTCCGGTCTGGTTGCAGTGGAAACAGACTGCAAACCCCTTGGGGTAATCTTTGGCCATGTCCCCCTCCTTGCCACACTTGTAGCAAGACCCTGCTCTATAAATCCCCTCATGACCCTTGCTGCACTTGCCACAAGTGCGGCCCTTCTGGTTCCCTGGTCTCGAATCGGCGGGCTTGGCCTGCTTGGCTGCCGGCTGGGACTGTGCCGGTCGCCGATCCCTCCCTTGAGACTCCGCCTCCTCCCTAGCCTGAGTCTCAAGCTCTATCTCCCTCTTCCGAGCATTCGCTTGAAGCTCGGCAAATGTTCGGTACGACGAGTTGGCCACAAACTCGCGGATGTCTCTCCTCAAAATGCTCAGATACCGACTCATGCGTGCCTGCTCAGAAGACACGTGCTCAGGGCAGAACATCGCCCTCTCATGGAACATCCTGGTGATCACAGTAACAGACTCAGTACCCTTCTTGAGGGTCAAGAACTCCTGGGCCAACCGTTCCCTTTCCACCGGGGGAACGTACTCATCACGGAACATAGCGGTGAACCTCTCCCAGGTCACCGCGGCAAGCTCTGCAGAAGAATAGTGTGTCGTCACAAACTTCCACCAGTCCTTCGCTCCCAAGCGAAGCTGGTTCAGCGCGAACCAAACTCTCAGATGCTCCGGACATGAACACGTATAGAAGCATCCCTCAATGTCAGAAACCCATCCCATCGCAGCAATCGGATCGTGCGTCACATCAAACTCTGGTGGCTTCGTGTTGCTGAACTCCCGGAACAGCAACGAATCACCACCCTGAGGTCTAGCAGCAGCAACAGCTGCGGTAGCTGCAGCGGCTGCAGCCTCAGTAACCGCTGCGTATCTCTCATCAAAGGTCTCAATCAACGTGGACTTAATAGACCCAAACATCTCTGGGATCTCTGCGTGGATAGCCGCAACCACCTCCTCGTGGATCATCTGACGAAGCTCCTCGTCACTCACACCGCTGGTCTGTGGTCTGTGGCGTGTCCCAACCATGATGTCTCTCTGAAATACAACATAAAAATATCAGAGACCCGCTCGAGCATACTCGCACTCGATAACTCAACCCTACTTGCTCTTCAGTACCCTAAGGATTCTTACTTGGACTGCGCACTGATCCGATGTCTTCAGTAGTACGGGCCCAATACTACCGTCCACACCGCATCAGTATTCACCCCAAGTCCTCCTCCTAGGATCCCAAATCCCAAGTACTCTACTCTCGCTATGCATAGGCTACTCTCTAGCAGACCTCTCATAAGCTCCTCGTTGCTATCTACTCACTCTCAAGCATCTCCCAGCAACAAAACCCCTAGGCTAAGGCATCACGAATCAGGTCACTCTAGTCCTAAGAAGAATACCTAGCCTACTCTAGCATGCATAACATATCATATCATATCTCAAAACACATAATATAAGGGTATTTTGGGAAATCACCGTTCGGGCGCTGGCTGATCGTACACACTGCTCTGCTCTGCTCTTTTTCAAAACCTTTTATTCCTTTAGAAAAATTTTGTTTTATTTGGAAAAGTTTCTCAAATCCACAGTTTGAGTTCAAATGCGCCTGAAGGTGCATCCGAATCCCTCAAACCAAGGCTTTGATACCAACTTGTAACATCGTAAATTCCAAAACAATTTTTCACTTTTAAAAATATAATTTAATTCCTAAATATTATCAATCTCCATGTATCACATATCAATCCATAAAATTCACCCCAAGATCACAATACATAAAAACTCCATAAGTGTGTACTGATCATGTCGGCGCCTTCCCGCGATCCTCACTGGTACCTGAAACACATAACACAAAACACTGTAAGCATAAATGCTTAGTGAGTTCCCCCAAAATACCACATATAACACATATTAGCCACTCGAGGCTATAACTCTGTGGGCCCACTGGCCCTAACTCTGTGGACCCTCTGGTCCTAACTCTGTGGACCTTCCGGTCCTAACTCTGTACACTCTGAAATAAACACAGCATAAATCATATAGAAAATAATGCAGTGCAACACATCACATACATAGCATATAAGATACTCTGTCACATAACTCTACTTACCACTCAAGCTAAAGTATAGTGAGAAGACTCACCTCAAGTAACTCGGTAAATCTCGAACTCGGAAATACTGATCTAGCCTCCGCCTAATCACATAAAATAATTACTCTAATTAATACGACTCTCAAAGGCTAGACGATTCCCTCTCTAAGTTCTCTCAAGAGGGTAAAAGACCATTTTACCCCTCCAATGGCTCAATAGTCCAAACATTGACTAGACTCTAAAAGTCAACGAAAGTCAACGGTCAACTTTGACCAGACTCGTCGAGTGCACATAGGTGACTCGGCAAGTCCAAACGTGTCCTCTGGGTCTTTCTAAACCTCACTCGACTCGTCGAGCGAACCTTCCACTCGACGAGTTACCACTAATCATGAATCGCGGGGTAACCCGACTCGACTCGTCGAGTCCCCTTATGGACTCGGCGAGTCCCTTCCATGGCAACACTCAAACGACCTTCTGAGGTCAGATCTGCTTCTCCAACTAGTAGATCTAACCTTCTAGCACTCAAAAGTCACGTAAAGGTTCAAACTTTACGTTCTTGAAACACATACAAAGCCATGAATGGAGAAATATCCCTTAAAATGATAACCTACTCTCAAAACCCTCATGAAAAAGCATAAAGCTGGTTGGGTAGGTTGGGACTTTTTGGACCTCTCATGGTCCAGATCTAACATCTACACCACTTTGGGACATCACATGCTTCAAGATCCAACTCAAAAAGATGCAAGGAACCCTAGATTCAAGAAATATATCAAATACACGAAATGGGAAAGGATTTGTACCTCCAGAAGCGAGTCTTAGTCTGAACAACACAGATCCAAGCTCCACAATCAATCTAGCTTGGACTTTCCCACTCCTTCTTGCAAGATTACACCAAAAGGATGAAGAATTAGCCTTTCCCTTGCTCTCTAAGCTCTCTTCGCTCTCTAGGGGTTTCTCAGGGGAGTAAGTGGCCGCAAAAGAAGGCCATAAGGACCTTTAAATAGGGCATAGGCCCAAAGATTTAGGGTTTTTGTCACCAGCACAGACTCGTCGAGTCACCTAGCCGACTCGTCGAGTCCATTCATTAATCCAGTCAGCGAATCGCGACCCTACTCGACGAGTCTAGGCATCAACTCGTCGAGTCCCTCCCTTTAACTCAAAATCAATGATTAAAATAAAATACCTGGGAATCTGGATGTTACACTATCTCTTTCTACCTCTCTCCCCCTCCCATTTGTACAAAACTATGGCATTTGTGTTGTAGTGGAGGAATGAGTGTTGTCTTTCTTTGATGTTCTTGGGAAGAAATTTAAGGTGGATTTGCAGTTCTGCCCCGTTTCTCTGTATGACACCATTCATATTCACATCCAGATGCTGGCTCGAGTTACTCCCACTGTCTCTCCTCCTTCACACTTGGTTGTTGCTGGGGATACGCCCTTTTTGGGTAATTCGTCCAATATTCCTACTCTCGAGCCTCCCCCTTTTGGAAATCTTGAAGCTTCAGAGCACGTGTAGGACAACAAAGAAGGAATACTGACCGATGATGTGTCCTGCGGATTAAGGAAGAGAAGGCTACTAAGTATTGAATGTCCTCCTGGTGTTGTGAAGGAAAAATCCATCGCATACCGTTCTCGTCGGAGAAAACTTGCAACTAACTTTGTCTCCACTCTAATGCCCTCCGGTGAAGATGTTATAAGCATATTTGATGACGATGTTCACCAGTCCGAAGGGATGCAAGGGGCGCCTAAACAGCCTAGTTTTGACAAGGGTCCTTCTGGTACTATTCCGGAGCAAATCCCATTGTCAAACCAAACCAAATCTCCTGCTGCTTCAGAGATGTCTGATTACGATGATCTCATTGCGGGTCTTCAAGGAAAGAATCCTTCTTCCAACAACATCTTTGTACCCAAGTGGAATCTTACTAATCAATCCCGCATTTCCAGTCGGGAAGTTGCTATGGAGTTCTCTTGCCATGCCTTCCCTAAAGAAAGTATAGTTGAGATGGAGGCTTTCACAAATGATCAAACTATTGATTTCATGGAGTTTCCTTCTGCCCAGAGTGCTTTTTTGCTTGCTGCTGGAGCTCGGTGCATATGACGCCTTAAAAGCGTGATAGTCAAACTATGTTCCAATGAAAGGAACGCACAGCAGCATGTGGCCTCGCTGGAGGCTCAAGTTGGATCCTCCCATCAGAAACTAGAGCTAATGGACGGCGATAATATGAATCTAGAGGAACGGTGCGGTGACCTAGAATCAAAACTCGATGATACTCTTCAGAAGAACGAAGCCTTGATTATTCGTGTGGAAAGCCTGGAGAGAGAGTTGTTGAAAAAATAGAAGTTGTTTCTTGATCGCGAAGCAAAAGTGTCCTGTGTTAGGAGTGACTTGGACGAGCTTGTAAATGAGGGGGTTATTAGGATCGTGGATAAGGTCATTGAGCTTCCTTTCTTTCTGCAAGGTGTTAGTCGGATCAAGCATATGTACTTTGATGTTGGTGAAGATTCTATGAGGGAGGCGTTGCGCAAGGAAGTTGTTGCTGGGACGTTTGATCCCCATGATCCTATCCCGACTTCCAGCCATATTGGAGAGATGGAGGATGCTATTAATTCATTCATCACATGAGATTATGCCACCCTCATGAAGTTAGTCTCTCTATACATTGATCGCCTTCGTCAACTCTGTGTTGATGATGGTAGTGGAGGAGTGGGTCCAAGCGGCACTGCAACAATTACTAGTCTGGATGGTGGCTTGGGTAAGTGATAAGAGACTCTACTTTTGGGACCTTGTTCCCATTGTGCTACCCATAGTGGGTGTGAAAATAAACTTTTCTTGACTTTCTTTTGGTGGTCCTGCATGGTCTTATTATGCCAGATTTTGTCTTGTACTTGGACAAAACTTCTTTCTTTTGTAGGCTTGTAATTGTACCTTGGACTAGCATATTATCCTTTTTAGCTTCGTTTTGTTGGGTCTTTTATTTATTTGGAAGTTTATTCGTGAGCATCCTAAGTTAGGGTTATCATCCTTTACGTTAAGATGATACTAAACTTCTCATTGCCTTGCAGAGTTGGTTAATGAAGTGTTGTAACTCCTCCTTGGCAAATGTTATAATCCTTTGAGCCAAAATAAGACAGGACTAGACCGCCTGTTACCATGCAACTTTTTCTAGGCAAAGGTTATAATCCTTTGAGTCAAGACGAGACAGGACTAAACTGCCTGCTATGCTGTAGAGTTGGGTAATGACACCATGCAACTCTTCTTGGTAAAGTTTATAATCCTTTAAGCCAGACGAGACAGGGCTAGAATGCCTGCTATGCTGCAGGATTAGGTAATGATACCATGCAACTCTTTTTAGCAAATATAATAATCGATTAAGCCAGACGAGACAAGACTAAACTGCCTGCTATGTTCTAGAGTTGGGTAATGATACCGTGCAACTCTTTTTGGTAAAGGTTATAATCCTTTAAGCCATATGAGACAGGACTAAATTGTTTGATATGCTATAGAGTTGGGTAATGATACCATGCAACTCTAATTGGCAAAGGTTATCATCCTTTAAGCCAGACGAGACAGGACTAGACTGTATGCTATGCTGCAGAGTTGGGTAATGACACCATGCAACTCTTCTTGGCAAAGATAGTGACCCAGGGTCATCAACCCTGGGTTCGTTTGTGATAAATGGCACAGGTTTATTATAGAGAAAAAAGCACTTCTAGCTTTTGATCTTATCTATTCTTCTTCCTTTTTTTATATAAAAAACTTCTTAAGGTGTTGAATGTGCCAAGTGAGGGGAATTGCGCATCCTTCCATGGTCTCTAATTCATAAGAGCCATTGTGGTGAACTATGACCACTCTGTATGGCCCTTCCCAGGTTGGGCCTAGTTTTCCCCTTGGCTCACTGTGACTTAATTTATTTTCCCTTAGGACTACATCTCCAACTTTTACACTTCGCCCTTACATTTGTTTGTTATAGTAGTTTTCAGTTTGGGATTTGTATATTGCCTAGTGCAACTAAGCTCTCTCCCTTTTCTCATCTAGTAAATTGAGGTTGTGTCAGAGATCCTTGTTTGATGTCCTTTCGCTAAATCCTATTGTGTGCACTGATCCCATAAGTAATTCTGGTGGAAAGATTTCTTATGTGCCGAACGCGAGACTAAAAGGAGTTTTTTTGTGCTAGTTTGCGGGTTCATTCGGTAGGACCATAATATGTTGGGCATCTCCTCCACCTAATTTCCATTTCCCTTGCCTAGTCATTTCTTGATTCCGCTTACCAATGTTTTGTTGGACACCTTTGTATGTCCTTTTTCTTGTGGATGAGCTACTGACGTGAAACGCTGCTCGATGTGTCTTTCCTGGCACCACCCCCTGAATGGGTTCTCGGCAAACTACGACCTGTTATCACCGATGAGGGTTTTTGGTGTCTCGAAATATATGAGAATGTTTTTCCACGTGAACTTGATCATAGATCTCCCTGTAATACTTGCTACTGGCTCTACTTCTATCCATTAAAAATCAATGGCCACTATTAAGAACTTTATTCTTATTGGAGCTTCTGGGAATAGCCCTACAATATCGATTATACACTAGTGGAATGGCCAAGGGCTAAAGATGCTAGTGAGAGTTGTGGATGGTAACCATTGTACCGGCAAGAAAGTCTGCCCTCTATACATTTTCTTGTGATTTATTATGCTTCTTTATGTAGTGTTGACCAGTAGAGACCCATACGTAACACATTACTAGTTAATGCTCTCGCACCTTCATGTGCCCCTGCATCACCTTTGTGTGTTTTGTTGAGAACGTGTATTCCTTCTGTTTCCGTTATGCATTTTTAACCATGGCATCAAATATCCTCTTTTGTATAATTGGTTGCTTTTGATGATAAACCGAGGTGATTTGATTTTAACCTTGTGTGCTTCGTGTGGGTCATCAGGAAACAGAACATGCTTTAAGTAAGCATAGATGGGAGTCGTCCATCCTCTTTCCTTGGTCGTGGTGGCTTCCATGCACATCTCTTCTATGTTTCGACTGTTAAGTATTTCCACCAGTACTTTCTTCCACAAATGGCTATACATCGTGGCTGCCAATTTTCTCAATGTGTCCGCCCTTCTATTCTCACTTCTTTTTATTTGTTCTATTGTTAAACCCTCAAATGTTGTTTCCATGTCTCTTAATGTCGCTGCATATTTATTCATTCTTTCATTCCTTGTATCACATATCTCGTTTATCTATTTCGTGACCAACATGGAATCGGTCATAACCTTCAACCTTTTCACTCCCATTATGTGAGCCAACCTTTTCCCTTTGAGTATGGCTTCGTATTCTGTTTCGTGGTTGGTAGTTTCGAAATCGCAGCGCAGTGCGTATGTGGCCTCGCCTTCAGGGTCAGTCAGTATAAGACCAGCTCCTGACCCCTCCTTACTGGCTGCTCCGTCTGTATACAACACCCAAGCTTGTTTACCAACCCGCCTCCCGGTGTTTCTTCTTACTGAGTAACAATTGTGCTACACTCTTTGTCTGGAACCTCTACTAAGAAATCCGCTAGAGCATGGCCTTTTATGCTTGTTCTGGGATGGTAGTCTATGTCATGATCTCCTGGCTCAACATCCCACTTCACTAACCTCCAAAATTTCTTTGCTTTAATAAAATGTTTTTTAGGGGTTGGGTTGTCAGAACTTCCACTCGATGAAATTGGAAATAACGACACATCCGCTTGGATGCATGTACCAATGCTAACATCATCTTCTCAACCATGGGATAATTTAATTATGCCCCTTGTAGCGCCCTACTGATGAAGTATACGGGCAGCTGCTTTCCTTGTCTTTTTACTGTCACTACGGCCGATATGGCCTCTTCTGTAACGGATAGGTATATCAACAGTGTTTCTCCCAGGGTAGGACTTTCCAGGGTTGCTATCGGCCATAGAGCTTTATTTAAGTCATGGAGAGCACGCTCGGCCTCTAGTATCCATAGAAAATTACGTTTGTCAATGCATCCCTTCAACGTCTGGAAAAATGGCATTGCCTTGTCAACTGAATGGGCGATGAATCGTCCCAAAGTGGTGATCTTTTCGTTCAAAGCCTACATTTCTTTTAAGCTTCTTGGCTCAACCGTATCTAGTAGCTCGGCCACCTTCTCAAGGCTTGGCTAAATTCCGTATTTTCTTATGTAGTACCCTAGGAATTTTTCTTCCTGCACGTCAAACATGCATTTTGCGGGGTTTAACTTCATGCGTACTTTCTCAAGAGTCTTGAGTATTTCTTCTATGTCTTTGAGTAGCGTGCTATCATTGTGACTTTTGTTCACCATGTCATTAACATATACATGTACATTTCTACCAATCTAATCTTTGAAGACCTTTTCCACAAGTCGTTGATAAGTTACCCCTGCATTCTTGAGGCCGAATGGCATTTTTGTATAGCAAAACGTTCCATGGTCAGTGTAGAATGTTGTATTTTCTTTTTTTTCTTTCTTCATTAGTACTTGATGATAGCATTATACGCGTCCAGAAAACATTTCCATTTGAAGCCTTGTAAGGATTCAACTTTTTCGTCTATTTCTGGCAGTGGGTATGAATTTTTAGGGCAAGATTTCTTTAAGTCATAGTAATCTACACACATTCTCCAGGTTCTATCACCTTTTTTAACCATAGTTGGATTAGCTATCCATACAGGAAAGAATGCTTCATGCAGTATCTTTGTGTCTACGAGCTTAGCGACTTCTAAGTTAATTGCTCTATTTCTCTTTCCTGCTTGACTGTGTTTTTTATGCTTGATAGTGGTTGTATATTGAGTCTGTGCTCAGTTAGCTTTCTGTCTATCCCCACCATATCCGTTGGTGTCCATGCAAACACATGGTTATACTTTTCCAGCAGGTCTATTAACTTTTCCCGTATATTTGTGGGCAAGTCTCTGCTCTGATTCTTATCTATTGTTTAGGATAATTGTCGTTGATTACCTACTTTTCTTTTCGCATTTCTTCCCTCTTTCGCTTCATTCCTTTGGATATTTATGTGGCTTCCATGATTTGGTAGCACCGATGTCTCTCATGATTTTCTTCCAACACAACCACTGGGACTTATGGCGTATTGAACTTGACTACCC